TTGAAAATCAACAACTTCAAAAATGTTTAAATATGAATTCGAAGTGAACTAAGAGCTTTTATCCATGGAGAGGGGTGATATATAAAGTTTGGTATACAATGGTAAAAAATAATAAAACATCACAATATCACTTTGAAATAAGATTCTGACTTCTGTGCTACAGACACACAAATAAATGAATAAATAATAAATAGATAAATAAATGAAGCTTTTCTAAGACTATGCTTTTATATAAGATAATCAAGTTCCATCTTCAAAAACAAAAAAATCAACAAATTTTCCAAAGTAAATTAATGTCAACATTTTACCAATGTTTCTTCCAGAGAGGATATCCATCTTTACATCTTTACTTTATCCTTGACTAGAGGTTAACTATTTGGTGATAAAATATTTATAAATTTCCAAATTACCGACCAGTAGCCACATCAAATGAGGTTACCATGTCAACACAAGGAAAGCAACAAACACTTCCAACAGGTAGTCTTTATACACCTTATAACTTCAAGGTTCACTGTAGGCAAAAAATCAGAAATTTGATGGAAATGATATTGAATTAAGAACAGAAATGTAGGTTATAGTTCTAATTCTAATCTGGGCTGCTAACTAGTCATACAGGACACCTTTAAAGCTGCAGTGAACCATCTATATTAGAACATGATAGTTTCCTCTTCCTACCTAATTCTCAAATGCTTCAAGAATCACATGATAAAGTGTAAAAACTACCATAAAAAGAATGAAAAAAAAATTACCATGGTTGTGCCATGAGCTACTCATCTCCATATCAGCAAATAAAGGAAAATCTGTGTCTGTTTTTGCCAGACATTCTTCCACTTGCATTAGGGACTAGCTCCTTGGATACCACTCATAATAAGCAATTTATTGGGTTTTCCACTGTTCATTATTAATTACATCATACATCTCTAAGAAAGTAAAATTATTTTGCCAGGTGTGCTGACATAGGCCTTTGGTGCCACCACTTTTGAGAGGCAGAGGCAGACCTCTGTGAATTCAAAGTCCACACAGGGAATTCCAGGCCAGCCAGGGTTACATAGTGAGACCCTGTCTAATGATTATGAAATCAAGGTTTCTATAGTTAGAAAAGAAACCAACTAACAACAAGGAGACAATCCCTCCCACCAGAGGAAACAATCTTATAAGGGTGCAGAGAAGTCAACTCGTAACTAATCAAACTATGCCATAACTACCATAGTGAGAATTAGCTACTTAATCCTCTTCAGAAAATTCACTGAAAATGAATCCCCATTTCACTTCTTTTATCACATATTGCCTCCTGATTGAAGAACAGGCATATTCCTAAGCCAGGCAAAAAGGAATAGAAAAGACTAAGAGTTTCTTCTTCCACTGCTGGTACCTCTACCATCTCTTCCCTGATTCCTGAGAGCCAAAGAGACAGTTATAATTAAAGTGTCTGAACTGATATTGCTATCTGTTCTCCACACATCCATATCATTCCTCAGTCTCACCAGTTCTCAAGTAGACAGAAGAAAAGATGAGTACAGATGTTCCAATGAAAACCTAAGCACCAAGAATCACAAAACCTTACTGGGAAGGAACCTCCTGGCCTCACTTACAACATATTAACTATATCCAATCAACAGTAAATCAGTTGTGTTCTCTTTGTACGAAAGAAAGAAAGAAAGAAAGAAAGAAAGAAAGAAAGAAAGAAAGAAAGAAAGAAAGAAAGAAAGAAAGAAAGAAAGAAAGAGAAAACCATCACTGTTAACAATTCCGGATTCTATTTTACCACATGCAACTGGACTTGTGACAGACAGCTATTGGGCAAGTTTATTCCAAAATATAACAAATAAAAGGCAGTATCATAGAAAGTGTGAGGCACAACACAGTGCATTATTCTGTCTCTAGGTACTTGCACAATATAATATAATGACCCTACAGTCAGGGTCATTAACTTTCCTGTAATTCTAAAGCCCCACCCCCACCCCCGACACGGCACAATAGACGGCCCATGAGTTTCATGTAGGAGCTTCATGTAATCCACAGACTACCCTAAAATCACATCCACAAAGCACAGGTGCATCTGGCCAACAGATTTCTTTAGTTTCAACAAGGGTTAGCAATTCCCAAAAGACTATGAACCTTATGATCTCTTACTAAGGATAATATGGCTAAGCTACCACTAGTCTCTCTACGGACCTGAATCAGAACCATTATTTTAACCTTTTTTTTTTGGGGGGGGAGGGGGGGCACGTTCGAGACAGGGTTTCTCTATGTAGTTTTGGTGCCTGTCCTGGATCTTGCTCTGTAGACCAGGCCGGCCTTGAATTCACAGAGATCCCCCTGGCTCTGCCTCCCAAGTGCTGGAATTAAAGGTGCGCGCACAATTGCCGCCTGGCTATTTTAACTTTTATAAAAACAACTACTTTAGCTCATAATAGTGCATACCTTTAATCCTAGCACTGAGGAAACAGAGCAGGCAGATCTCTGTGAGTTCAAGGCCAGCACGGTTTACATAGTGAGTTCCAGGACAACTAGAGCTACATAGTGAGATTCTGTCTCAAAAAATAAAAAAAAAGCATGGATGCAAAAAAAAAAAAAAAAAAGGAAAAAAGAAAAACAACTCTTTTGTGGGTGGAAGAAGATGTGCTTGTGCCACTGGGCAAGTACGAAGGTTAGAGAACAACTTTGGGAGTAGATTACCTTACTACCCAGTGGGTTCCTATTAACGAAATTAGGTCATCAGGCTTGGCAGAGAGCACCTTTACCCAGAGTCATCTTGCCAATTATTTTAACTTTCTTCTTTTACCTGATCACCAAATTCTATCCTACTTTCTTTGTCCATTCCCATGTGTTCAGACCCTTGCTACCTATGATGATGGAAATCCTGAGGTTTATGAATCTTCAGGTTCTTCCCACCTCAACTCATACTACCCAACGCTACTAGATTAATTCTTCTAAACAAAGGTTTAAATTGTTTCACTCCCATCTCAAAAATCATCTGTGGACCCCTCACTGCCTAGTAACCTACTCATTAGTCTGACATTAACCCTACTCTTATGCTGTGAGTGGTGGCACACCCCTTTAATTCCAGGGCTCTGAAGGCAGAGGGAGGTGGATATCTAGGAGTTTAAGGCCAGTCTGGTCTACAGAGCAAGCAAGATCCAGGTCAGTCACGGCTACATAGCAAAGCCTTGTCTCAAAAAGAAAAAAGGAAAATTTTGTTACTGGTCTTGATTTTTATTACAGGCTTTCTTACCCTATATGCTAAGTACAAATCCTTTAGACACCACCCAAATCCTCTTAGATCCTTCTTCTTGAATTACCTTTCCCTGCTTATGAAAAATCAGTCATCCTTAGAGCCAGCATCTTCAAAAGAGAAGCCCCTTAACTCATCTGAGAACTACTGTCTCTCATTTTGAATTGAGAGAATTTTTACATTTATGAAACCAACACACACACACACACACACACACACACACACACACAAAGGTATTCTAGGCATGGTGGCATAGGCCTGTGAGTTCAGGTCTGAAGCAGGAAGATGGCAACTTCAAGGCCAAATTGGGCTACACAGTGAGATCCTGCCATTTATTCACACAAACATAAAATGAGCATTTGTGTATAATCTAACATACACAATATAATATAATCTTCTTCCTTATGCTGTAAAGACAGAAGCTGCTAATCATTTCATCAATATAATATACCCCAATATAAACTCACGCTGTCATACAGTTGATGCTTAATAACTGTACAAGAATGTAAAAGAAATTTCAACCAGCTGAAGAGATTACATCTCTTTGAAGGCAAGAGACCTGATCAGCCATGTCCTGGGTTTCAAAAGCAGCGTATCAAAAGCAGCTCTGAACGTTATGTGAAGAACTGTTTGAAAATGTTAATAATCTATGTCTCAAAGAGCTAAGCCACATTCTTCACACATCGCAATTTCAACAGCTCCCAACACTTGGTCACTATATATTGAATTTAAAATGTTAACTAGTTATTAAAAAACGATACTTTTCAGTCAGTTTAAGTATATTACTTCATGGCTAGTACAAGTCAGATAAATGAAAGAATGTCTTTTCTAAAAGGTAAGTTTCACTAACAGTTACAGACTTGGTGAGACATGTCAAGTGGATTTATACATAAGTATAAACTCTTGCAGAAACTTACAGACAACTGTGAAACTGGTATTTCATGAGAGAAAAACAAAAAAAAAAAAACAAAAAACACCAAACGGGAGTGGGAAGATAACTGAGTTTTGTTTTTTTGTTTTTTTGTTTTTGCAGCATTTTAAGAGTAGAAATTCAATCGTACTGCACACAAAAAGATAAAAATCTAATAGAAAAAAAATACCAGATATCTGTGAATTATTTTATGGTGGAAGAGTAAAATATTTCAAAAGTATAACAGATACATCTTCTTGTTGGTAATAAAGGCTTCTTATGATCGCTTAAAGCAGAGGAACTTCAACTCCAAACCTAGGAGTAAAGGAAAGGGACACAGAGTCCTTAGGCACACAAAACTGATCATTTAGAGATTGTAAAGGCGATGGGCAAAGTACCAATCCTAACCACACTTAAATCTTAAAAGAAGATTTAAAGGAAACGGCCCAAATCAAGATGGGGATTAGAAAAATTTGCAAGGTCACTTGAACCTACCAGGTCACCAAAGGTAGAGATTGGGGGTGTTGGTGGGAGGAGGTGCGGAGTCAGTGAAAAACCCTGAAATGCTGAAAACATGTCAGGAAAGGACGTTCCGAGGCGGGCGTCCCGGCTCGCGCCGGTGGGATCCCGGTGAAAGTCAGGGCAGCAGTTCTGAGGCAGGCAAGCAGGACGGCTAGCGAGCCGCCCGCCGGCCAGGAGGCTGGGCACTGCAGTCCCCGAGACACTTCGCCGGGCTCCGGTGTCACCCGCACCGGCTGCTGCCAGCGCCAGCTCGGGGCAAGCCCGGCGACCCCACCCCAGCGAACTCCGGCCCGGCCGCCCTCCAGGCTCCCTCCCGCGTCCCACTGTGCTCACCCGCGCGAAGCTGCGGCTCCCGGGGCCCGCGGCCACCGCGGCGGCGCCTCCTCAGCCCTCCGCGCCCAAGATCGCCATCTCGGAGCAGGCGTCGGCCGGGCAGCCCAGGCCGCCCGCAGCCACCCGGATCCCGCACGCCAAGCGCGCCGACACCCGGGCCCTCCCCCCACCCCACCCCGGCCCACACCTCCCTTTCTCGGGAACGCGCAGCGGACTCGCGACGCCGGTGCCGCGCACGGGCGCGCCTCCCCGCCGGGGCCGCTCCGAGCCTCTCTCTAGTCCAGACCCGGACTCCGGCGGCCCACGAGCATGCGCAGCGAGCGCCCGCCGAGCCCTCCCGAGGACGGCTCCGCTGCTCCGGGTCTTCGCGACGGTCGAGCAGAGATGCAAGCCAACCAATAGGATGGGAGGGGCGGGTCCGGAGCCGGAAAGGGGGCGGGGCAGCCGCCAGGAAGCCGGTGGGGACTTTCGAAGCTGGAAGCTTACTGTTACCTGGTCTGTTCAGTCAGCTGCAGAGCCTCGTGCACAGCCTCGGGTCAGCTATGTGCTTACTCCAGCACTTCACGGCAAAAGGAGGCTGTGAATGAACACTCCTTGACATCGCTTAATATTTAGGGGCCATTAGCAAATGGTCACACGAAAAGACTTGCATTTGTGTTGGTAATCAAATTGTTCCCTTCCCTTGGCACCACGCTGGCCCAATAACAAAGCTGCTGCCGATTGAGCAAATGCACGTATCCGTATCCGTGCAGCTAAGCAGTACAGCAGTCTTGAAGTGGAGTCTCTTGACTCCATTACACAATGAGTCAACTGCTTAGAAAAGCTCTGTTGGTAATTTACATTGCTCTTGTGAGAAAGGTCACGCTGCAAATACAAGTCAGTGATGACCACTTATTCTACTTCAGAGAAAGAACAAAGTTCCTCCGGCATCGTACAGTTGTTAGCCAAACACCTCACCTAGGCCCCGCAAATTACTTACACCCACCCCAGAGTCTACTGGTTCTCTTGCTTCAGAAGTTCAGAAATGCTGGCTTCTCTTCAAATAAGACCTCCCCACTGTTGCCTGTGACGCCTTAACATGTCTTTAACTTCATTGCCCCATAGGTAACAACTTCTCTTCTTCTTCTTCTTCTTCTTTTTTTTTTTTTTTTTTTTTTTTTTTTTTTTTGGTTTTTCGAGACAGGGTTTCTCTGTGTAGCTTTGCGCCTTTTCATAGAACTCACTTGGTAGCCCAGGCTGGCCTCGAACTCAGAGATCCGCCAGGCTCTGCCTCCCAAATACTGGGATTAAAGGCGTGGCCACCACCGCCCCGGCATAATCACCTTTTAAGGCTTCTCTGTTCCAATTTTTTTGTTGACTTTAAACCACTTTTCTGATTTACTCTTTTTGTGTCGTTGTTGTTGTAACTTTTGAAAGAATAGAATAACAAGAATACTAAGACTCCATGAGTATATGTAGGACTCAGTAAATACCTCTTGAATGAACAAATGTACATTCTCTTCCACTCTGGTACAGTAGTTACTGCCCCCAACTTCACATATAAGTTAGGTGCGTGTGCACCTGATGCACAAAAATCACTCGAAAATGTACATGGTAATCTTACTTGTCACCATTCTATTCCTCTTGCTGTGGTAAAATACTGTCAAAAATACGACTTGAGAATAAAGGAGTTTATTCTGGCACATATCTGGTTGCAGGGCCTCGATATAGCTGGTCACAATAAATCAGAGGTCAGGAAGCAGAGAGAGAGGCATGCTCATCATGCTTCTTCATTGTATGTAGTCCAGAATCCATTGCCCATGGAACAGCCCTGCCCACCACACTTAAGATTGGTCTTCCCACCTCGGTTAATATAACCAAGATAATCCTTCATAGGCAATGTCAGAGGCCTGTCTCCCAGTGAATCTAGATCCTGACAAGTTTCCAGTGAACACCAACCACCACATCACTCAACTGGTTGAATGCATTGGCTCTTCAGCTTTTATGACAATGTGCTTTTCAAAGCACCTTCAAGCTCATATGCTGTTTGTATTGTTAGGAGATCACTGAATGTGCTCACTTGGCTCTGTGTTTAAACTGTGCTGCCTGGACATGGCCTGGACCTTTTTGCTATAAGATTTCTTTAAATAAATGCAGCAGCTGCTTCAAAACACCCTTCAAGGGCTGCCTTCCTCCAGAGCTTGCGCATAGGCCTTCTTCTGCCTGCTCTGCCGCACTGACTCAGTCCTCCAGTGGCTCAGACCTTCCCCTTTCCCTGTGGTCCTAGAAGAAGTTCCTGGGGTTCTCCTATCCCAAAGTACATACCTAATATCAAATATTTGTTTTTATTGAATATTTCCTTAGTTTCCAATGAACACTGTTATAAGTATCTTTTCATCAATCATTTCCCATGTCTTTGTTTACTGTCTCAACTCCTCCAAAGTAATCACGGGTGTGAATAAGTTTAGCCCTTTGGAAACTCATTGGCAAGTTGCCTTGCAGGGAAAATGTAGGCTTGGGTGACACATTGCTGGGATCGAAACAGCTCTGCCACTGCAAGTGAATTCTCATTTTCAGGACCTTAGGAACTACCCGAGAGGCCTCTTCTTCCGTCTGAACAACGAAACAAAAATCTCTGCAAACTGTATTTTCTGGTTGCATTGGTCCATGGAAAATGTGTTGACGTTATACTTTAAAGAACTGTATTTGGTATTTACATTTTTCCCTGCAATCTTCATGGGATTTAAACCAGTTTTCTGGGCCCTGAAAGTATTGGGAGTCAGAACCATTGCACCCATGCTGCCTAAATGCAGGAGGCAGCCCAGTCGCCACCACAAGCTATGAGTTCCTTGATCTGATTGTACCTAAGCTAGAGAACTGGTATGGTGATGACTACATGATATAGTAAAAAATAAATAATTTGCTACAAGTACAGTGCTTACAGACATCTAACACATAGGCTAGTCAACAAACTGCTGTTGCTATATTAACCAGTTTTTCCACATCACTGTATGAGATTACTGTGCCGAAGTGATCGTGGTTCATTCCATGCGAGCAAATGTGTACTTATCCATCATTACCCATTTTCTTACAGAACTATTCACTGTCACTTCATATGTAGAGATATTGATTTAGGTGAAACATTTGTCTTTTTTTATTTTTGTTTTCTTTTAGACTTCACACATCCATTTCATCCTAACAGCATATAATTTGTCTGTTTTTTACTTGCTTAACCATTTACTGTTTCACTAAACAATCATCTAGAATTTGTTTTAGAGTGATGAAATAATATTTTTTTCTAAGTAGCTCATGGTACTTTCCATTCTGTTTGCTAAAGGACTTTTCTCCTATATTAGTGGTCTTAAAAAAATGTGTTCACATGGCGGCGCTGGAGAGGGGGCGCTGAGCTGTTGGGTATGAAGTGTAACGGAACAGACTTTACCACCTGAAACTGCTGCTTCAAGTTCAGATCAGGCAAGGAACAGACCCGGAACAACCAGCAACACCAAAGAAGAGTACACAAGTTGAAGACACAACACTTGATCTGAAACAAGAAGTTTGTGCCTACTCAACAGTTTTGAAAGAGCACTTCCCAACGCTGCTAGTAGTCTTTGTTTTCTTCAGTGCTGTACTGTGAGATTGCCCGGTGCAGCAGCAGTTATATTCTTTACTAGCTTGATAGATCATTTCCTCTTGCTCCCTTTATTTTTATTTATTTATTTATTTTGGTTTTTCGAGACAGGGTTTCTCTGCGTAGCTTTGCACCTTTCCTGGAGCTCACTTGGTAGCCCAGGCTGGCCTCGAACTCACAGAGATCCACCTGGCTCTGCCTCCCGAGTGCTGGGATTAAAGGCGTGCACCACCACCGCCCGACTCTATTTATTTATTTTTAATACTAGCAACTTTCATCCTTTGGAACTTGTGCTGCAAAAGAAAAGTCAGCAAATACTACTGAAAGTGCAATATTTGATTATCACTGCGAGATGAGCTTTGATCCAAACCTTCTCCACAACAATGGACACAATGGGTACCCCAATGGTACTTCAGCAGCACTGCGTGAAACTGGGGTTATTGAAAAACTGTTGACCTCTTATGGATATATTCAGTGTTCAGAACGGCAAGCTAGACTTTTCTTCCACTGTTCACAATATAATGGCAACCTCCAGGACTTAAAAGTAGGAGATGATGTTGAATTTGAAGTATCATCTGACCGACGGACTGGAAAACCTATTGCTATTAAATTGGTGAAGATAAAACCTGAAATACATCCTGAGGAACGAATTAATGGTCAAGAAGTGTTTTATCTGACTTACACATCTGAAGACGTGGAAGGGAATGTTCAGCTGGAAACTGGAGATAAAATTAACTTTGTAATTGATAACAGTAAACACACTGGTGCTGTAAGTGCTTGTAACATTATGCTTTTGAAAAAGAAACAAGCTCGCTGTCAAGGAGTAGTTTGTGCCATGAAGGAGGCATTTGGCTTTATTGAAAGAGGTGATGTTGTAAAAGAGATATTCTTTCACTATAGTGAATTTAAGGGTGACCTAGAAACCTTACAGCCTGGAGAAGATGTGGAATTCACAATCAAGGACAGAAATGGTAAAGAAGTTGCAACAGATGTCAGACTATTGCCTCAAGGAACTGTCATTTTTTAAGATATTAGCATTGAACATTCTGAAGGAACTGTAACCAAAGTTATCCCAAAAGTACCTAGTAAAAACCAGAATGACCCATTGCCAGGACGAATCAAAGTTGACTTTGTGATTCCTAAAGAACTTCCCTTTGGAGACAAAGACACAAAATCCAAAGTGACCCTGCTGGAAGGTGACCATGTTAGGTTTAATATTTTAACAGATCGACGTGACAAATTAGAATGAGCAACCAACATAGAGGTTCTATCAAATACATTTCAGTTCACTAATGAAGCTAGAGAAATGGGTGTGATTGCTGCCATGAGAGATGGTTTTGGTTTCATCAAGTGTGTGGATCGTGATGCTCGTATGTTCTTCCACTTCAGTGAAAATCTGGATGGGAACCAGCTCCACATTGCAGATGAAGTAGAGTTTACCGTGGTTCCTGATATGCTCTCTGCCCAAAGAAATCATGCTATTAGGATTAAAAAACTTCCCAAGGGCACGGTTTCATTCCATTCCCATTCAGATCATCGTTTTTCT